TATTTACCAAAGAATATAACACATGTACTGATGTACATGGGCCTAAAATACATAAAATAATATAATAATAATATTTAGCCCGTATTACGCCCCCGCAAGATGGAGGTTTCGTTGGAAACTCCCATCTTGGACCGAAAATGCTCAAATTGTGCTTGTGCAAGTGGTTCAGTAAGAACATCTGCAATCTGAAGCTTGGTGGCGATATGAGAGACTCATAGTTGATTATGTTGTACCAGTTCACAAACAAAAAAGAAGTCCAGAGCAAGATGTTTCATACGAGAATGAAAGACCGGATTCACACAAACATATGTGGCGCCTTGGTTATCGCAATATAACGTGGGAACCGTGCGTGGAGATATGCCTAGCTCCTGCATAATATTTTTCACCCACATGACTTCAGAACTCGCATTAGCCATAGCCCTGTACTCAGCTTCGGTGGATGACCTAGACACACTCTTCTGCTTGGCCGACTTCCTAGAGATGATGTTGGGTCCCAGATAGAGAACATAAGCAGTCGTGGAGCGACCATCATCCTGAAGGCCTCCCCAGTCAGAGTCCGAGAAAGCAGATACATGTAAGTCTAGCAACCGATGCATAAACAACCCATAATCCAAGGTACTTTTGAGGTAACACAGGATACGTTTCACTGCCCGTCAGTGATCTTCCGTGGGTTGATGCATGTACTGAGACAATCTATTTACAGCAAAGCCAATATCGGGACGAGTAAAAGACATATACTGAAGCAAACCAAGTGCCCGCCTATAGGTTGTGACATCCGAAAACGGTGCAGCCGTGGAGGCCGATCCACTGCCACCCGAGATCATAGGTGTGGGGGATGGTTTGGTCCACAACATGCCATGAGATTCCAAAATATTATAAGTGTACTGACGCTGAGATAGCAGGAGGCCCTGTGGAGTATATAGAACCTCGATGCCCAAAAAATGATGCAGGGGACCGAGATCCTTAACAGAGAAGGCATGCATCAGCCTCGAGACAAACTGATCTAGAACTGCAGGAGAGCTACCTGTAAGAACAATATCATCCACATACACAAAAAATAAAGAAACACACCATCACGTGCAAAGATAAATAGGGAGTGATCCGCATGAGATTTGTGAAACCCCATATTAAGTAGAAACCAAGAAAGCTCCATATACCAAGCCTTGGGTGCCTGCTTAAGACCATACAACGCCTTTCGGAGCCGACATATATGCTTGGGATGATGTGGATCAATAAAACTCGGTGGATGCACCATGTAGACTTCCTCCTCCAAGGTGCCATGCAAAAAGGCATTATTAACATCCAACTGACGAAGGGGCCAGTCACATGCCAGAGCAATAGTGAGAACAATACGGAGTGTAGCTGGCTTAAACACTGGGAAAAATGTTTCAGCATAATCCCTCCCTGGTTGCTGTAAGAAACCACGAGCAACTAAACAGGCTTTATAACGGGAAACACTCCCATCGGTGTTCCGTTTTACCCGAAAAAACCATCGGCGTGTAATAGGCTGGTGTTGTCCAGGAGGTACAAGGTCACAGGTATGATTGCGCTGAAGCGCAACAAAATCCTCATCTATGGCTTTCTTCCACCTGGGATCCTGCAAAGCAACCTTAAAAGAAGAGGGTTCAAGTGTAGGTGAAATGGGATGAACATTCATATTATTCACAAAGGCATCGCTGTAGTACTTAGGGTTTGGTTTACGGGTTCGGGCAGGTCGAGATGGTTCGGTATGGGGAGGGGCAGTAGCTTCAGGGCTGGCTGTGTTAGTTACAGACTCAGCACCCAGGGTGATGGTGGTAATAGGTTCGGCGGGCTCGGATGGGGGGGGGGGGATTTGTGATTGTGTTGCTGGAGTCCTGAGGTATAGGAGGTGCGTGTGGGTTGACGGCAGCCAGTGGGGTAGCCGCTGGGGGTACGGGTGAGGAGGGAAGTGGGGGTGCCGTAGGGAGAACCGCCGGGGGAGGAGCTGAGAGTGCCGAAGTGCGCACCGGTGGTGTTGGAATAGATTTTTCACGAAAGAAAAGATGAGATGGATTGAATCGAACATGACGAGAGACATAGACCCAATTGGTGGATGGGTCAAGACATAAGAAAGCAGACTGAGAGAGAGTAACCAACGAATACACAGGGGATATATCAAGGTTGTAGTTTGTGAGTGGTGTATCGACTGAGCTAGGGATAACACAAACATCCAAACGGCTGAAGCTTAAAGTAGTTTGGTTGCCTATGGTATAGTCGCAAATAGGGTGACTCATTTTGAAGGACATGTGTGGGTAGACGATTGATAAGGTATACCGCCGTAGAGAAGGTGTGGGTCCAAAATTTAAGAGGCATACCAGCATAATGAAGTAGTGAAAGACCGCTGACAACAATGTGACGGTGCCGACGTTCCGCTAGGCCATTATGCTCTGGAGTGTGTGGAGGTGTAGTGAAGTGAGAGATTCCATTTTGGTTGAGATATTCACGCAATTTAATAAATTCACCACCATTGTCAGAATAAAAGGAAACCAGAGGTAGGTTAAAAAAATTCAACAAGGCGGTGAAATTGAGGAAAAATAATAGCCACATCCGATTTACGTTTAAGTGGATAGAGCCATGTATAGCGCGTAAAGTAGTCAACAAAAATTACATAATACGAAAAACCATCAACAGAAGTAACAGGAGAACTCCACACATCAGAATAAATTAATTGAAGTGGTTTTGTAGCAGACATGGTATTAGTAAAAAAAAGGAAGTTTGTGACTTTTATTAATAACACAGGACATACAATGATGACGAGACACATTATTTGAAGCTAAATTCGGAAAAAACAAACGACAGACTCGACTAGAAGAATGACCTTGAACATAATTAGCCGTAGGAAGGTGCTACTGACCCTCCGCTGCATGCTGTGCCAACACGGCCTCCTGTTCCCGGAGAATGTCATGCAGTCCAGTGAAGGGGAGAGCCGTCTGACGGACCCGAACTGCTGCCAGGATGTCCGAGTATTTTGGGCACAGTTCCTGCAAAATACTGATGACAAAGTCTTCCTCGGAAATAGGGTTTTGGGCCAACGCAAGGGCTTCAATGAGACCTTGCATCTCGGTGAGATAGACATCAATTATCTTGGAACCTTTGGTGGTCTTGGCAAGGGTGGTTTTGAGAGATATAATGCGTCCACGCGATGAACTCGCGTAGGTGGAGGAGAGCTTGTCCCATGCTTGACGAGCGGTGGCCGTGGAAGAGATCACAGGTTGTATGGGGTCGGAGCAACTACCAAGAAGAACACTGAGTATCGATTTGTCTTGACGGTACCATATATGGTAGACCAGGTTGGGCTGAGATTTTGCGTCGTCAAGGTGAGTCAATGGGGCTGCTAGGGTGCCGTCGACATAGCCTTCGAGACCAAGGCCGATAAGGGCAGCATAAACTTGAGAGTTCCATACGGGGTTATTGGTAGAGGTGAGTTTGATCGGGAAGTGGGTAGTAGCGGTGATAGAGACAACCGGTGTGGCAGTGGTGAGTGCAGTTGACATGGCGGCGGCCGAGGGTGGTAAAGCACGACGGCAACTAGGGTTAGAGAAAGGTGGACGGCCGAGCTACGGAAAAAAATTAATTCGAAGAGAAGCTCGTTAGAGAATGGCTCTTGATACCATAAAGATGTGAAATATTGGATGATTATTATTGATGGAATACAAGAGTATATATAATACAGGAGTCCTAATGTATATGAACTGGGTATTTATCAAAGAATATAACACGTGTACATGGGCCTAAAATACAGAAAATAATATAATTAGCCCGTATTAATCCATTCATGTTTTAATTTCTCTAAATAGGAGTATTAATTTATTGTGTATGGACAAAAATACCCTCGTATTTAGTATTTAGGATGGTAACTGTCAGCGGCGACATTGCGGCAACAACGGTTGTAGTCTGGTGACCGTTGATACTATCTTCAAAACCTATAGAAGTATTTTGTCTTAAAACAAATTATTGCTCTTATTTAGAGAATTTAAACACAGAAACTTCTATTTTTACATTGTGGATACATGGACACGTACTAGTAGTTGACTTTAAAATTTTTGGGGAAAAAATCTTAACGTTAATCTATCTTAATATGAAAATTGATTAAAATACTACTAGATGTGTCAACTTGCATATTTAATTATATTATTAAGAAAAGTGGATTCAAAAAAATTCCAAAAAAAAGGTTTTTCAAAATTGTAAAGTTTGTTCTTGAAGGAGTTTTTGCGCATGAATAATTATAACACAAGGAGTTTGACGTAGGGGTGGACTCAGGTCCGAGCCGGGTCCGGGTCCGGGTCGGGCCTAGGCCCGGAAGGGGCCGGCAGTTCAGGAATGGTGGACCCGGGACCGGCCCGGGTAGCCACCGGGTCCGGGCCGGGCCTCCGGTTTGGATTTTTTTTTTTTGCTTTCCTAACCCCCACCCCCCTCACCCACCACCCTCCCAAACCCCCCCAAACCCATCCTACCCATCAAGCCCAACCAGGGTGGAACCCCAAAAATGAAAAAAAAAATAAAAAAAAAATCAATTTGGCCCAGGCCCAGGCCCGACCCGGCCGGGCCAGTTCACCAAATTTGAGACTCGAGCCCGGACCCGCCCTACCCCCCGGGCCTAGGCCCGACCCGGACCCAGACCCGAGAACCGGGCCGGTCCCGGTCCCGCACAGTAGCGGGCCGGGCCGGTCCACGGGCTGGGTGGCCCGACCCGAGTCCAACCATAGTTTGACGCATTTGTTAAATCACATGGGGCTAAAGCGCCGAATTTATATATCATAATGGGGCACAATTTAGTAGTACTTTCTTTTATACTTTCTTGTCCCAATGAATAAATTAAATACTCTTTCCACTCTATTCAATCCTTCGAACCAAACATGCCGTTGATGATAAATGTAAACTTACACAAACTAGGTTTGCAATACTATTTACAAATCACTTATCAAAGTTAACAATTTAACATCATGGGATGACAAGGAAATAAATCCATGTACTTCCTCCCCTTATTTATCAATATAAACATCGTGTTTGCTAGACACTGCAATTTATTCAGGATGTCTTATTTTACAGAGATGTAAGCTTCAAAAGAACCTTTGCCCATATATTGTTGTAGGAATGGTGTTACAGCCTGGGAGCAACACGTGGAGCATCCCATGGAGTTACGATGTGGTTGCGGGTGATTTCATCGACGGTTCGACAGCCGCTCAAAGCCATTGTCAGCTCTAACTCGTCATGGAGCATCTGCAGAACTTTTCTTACACCCGCCTCCCCGTTGACAGCCAAGGAAAACACCACAGGTCTTCCTATCTGCATGTTTTACAATTGCCAACAAAGTATATTACGCGATTTGAAGTGAAACTTTTCTTGACATAATTGGGAAGATAATGGTGCAAGAATGCATTCACTTACAAATATGCCGGATGCTCCAAGAGCCAGTGCTTTGAAGACATCAGTTCCACGCCGAACTCCTCCATCAAGGAAAACAGGAACTTTGCCTTGTGCAGCTTTGACAACCTAAAATGTGGTGTTGCTTTAAATTTACCTTACTTGTGCAAAAGATCAAGGTGCAATGTTTACCTCACAACGATATATTTGACTCAAACCTGGCTGACAAACAACATGGGAACCAAACCAAAAATGTTCTAGTGATAAAGATATACTACCTCTATTCCATATTCTGTTGTAATTTTATTAGTCATTAGTCAACTCAATTCTTTTTTCTTCTCTGATTTTGAGTGTCGGGTTTTTTTAGTTCCGAGTTCTGTTTGTGTACTTCAATAGAACTTCTAGTGTTGTTTTAATTATTAACACACATTTAGATATTGAGTATTTTAATTATCAACACAAATTAAAATATTGTTAGGGAATTAACTGTTTAAACCACACAAATTGACAACAAATATTGCTAGGGAAGAATTAATACTCAAAACCCCAAATTGCAACACAGTATCGAACTAACGGAGTACTTCACGATGTTCCAAAAGGAACATGTCAATAAACAACTACAGGAGTTGGAGTCTGAGGTCCCAACCTTAAAACGTCGACAATGAAGTTGTGAAGTCAATCTACTATATGGTACGTGATAATTAAGTAAATTCTCAACGTGGGATACTTTAAGCAACATAAGAACAGGAGTATGAGTTTCAACCTTAAAACTTGAGCAATATGTTTGGAATTTTCTTCTTTTAAATGGTGATTGATATGAAGGTAAAACACTATGGAGTATAGAACACAAACTAACCTCTTCCAAGGCCATAATAGTAGCAGGGGAGTAATCGAGTTGCCTAGCACCATGGTTCGATACAATAATCCCAGCTGCCCCATTTTGCACAGCTAGCTTTGCTGAACTTGTTAAGATTCAATCATAAGAAACGTTCAGATGTCAACATATAGAAGGAAAAGTTTTTTCAAAACATTAAAAAAATTCCTTAGACAGGGGTCTTCACGCAAAGAACCTCTACTCCTGGGAGTAGAGGTAGTAAAGTATGCATAAATCACCCTTCACCAGACCCTACTTCCAAGAACATACAGTATGTCATTGGTTTGGTTTGGTTTGGTTTATCTTAGGTAAGGTCTAGTAAGTCGTAATTCAACGTAATGTAATCAAGTATATTTTTAGCGAATATGTTCATTGGAAATAGATTTGATTATATTGCATCACATTTCATTGCATCTTACCAAACCACATCATAAATATAAATCATCACGTGATAATCTTAATAATCATATGACATAGTGACATACCATCCTCAGCGGTTAATACACCCTTCACCAGAATTGGCAGTGTAGTTATTGTCTGCAGCCATTTCACGTCCTATCCGAAAGGGAAGAAGCAATTCACATAGTGATGTTTGTGATATAGTTATTAAAAATCCATCAACTTTTGATTACTCCCGAATCTAACCTTCCAGCTGAGTGACCGGTCAACTTGACTCGCAACGTAGGATGCAAGTCCAGAGTCATTCGTCTGTAGAGCCGGACAATGCAGACTATTAGCAAGAAAAGCAGTACGAGCCTAAAATAAAAGTTCACTTTTCAACAGCTACTTACCTTATCTATTTTCCCTAGGTCCAATCCCACAAAATTCTTGAGTGTCAAATGAGGAGGCAAAACAAACCTGTTTATGGAACCAAGTTAATATTAAAACCCCCATTTTTTATCCCAGTGATTCAAAGTGTTAACATCCAGAGTTGAGGCCAGGTTAAGCCCAATCTTATTCTTAATACTAGCATCCACTGCTCTTAGATAGTATGTGTACCTATTCTTAATATCAGCTTCCCTTCGCCCAAGAATCGGTGTATCTACTGTGAGGACGATTGCCTTGAAACCGGCCCTTTCAGCTCTTTCAACTAGTTGTGTAACGATATTCCTGTCTTTGTACACCTGAATGTGGCGTGCCAAGTTAAAATGCCAAACACTTCACCACAGAACAACAGAAATGAAATTGACAGGTAAAAAGTAATATGGAGTAATAAAAAAGGCAGTTTGGCGCATATTGCATCCCCGCAAGAAGAGGGTCTGGGAAGTGTCCCACCACAACAGCGTATGAGGGGCAAGCCTTCCCTTGTACATTTTTTACAAGAGGCCGCTCCCAAGACTTGAACCCATGACCTAGTAAAGGAGTAATACTCTCCTGTCCCAAAAAAAGAGAGCCTGGTTTTCAAAGTCAACTTTACTTTTTAATTTAAATTTCTGTAGATGCAAGCACCAATGGGTATTACTCCCTCCGTCCCTAAATTAACTTCCAACTTTCCCTTTTCGTCTGTCCCAAAAAGAACTTCACTTTCCCTTTTTGGCAAAAAATTTGTGGTTGACAGCATTTCTCTCTCCTCTGCACAACTCTCTATCACACAATTCCCACTTTCTTAATCACCGTGCCACTTTAATTTGGAAGAACATTTAGGGACGGAGGGAGTAGTCAATTATACTGTACAATCTTGGAAATACGTTTTTAGGGGTAGAACTGACCATTCAGAACTTGTAAAGGTACACTAATTGAGTTGAATAAGAAATAATAAAAATTTGAACATTACACAAATGTCTCTTTTTTATGTTGGGAGTTGAGAATGGTGGACTAAAACATGCACAGAAATTGAGATCCTTAAACTTACATAGAGCTGGAAAAATCGAATTCCAGGTCCGGTGGAAGCAACCTCTTCGACACTGGAAGTAGCCCATGAAGAAAGCGTCTAAAATCACCAATCAGACAACGGCATAACTCATCAAAATACTTAACCACTTCTGCAGCAAATATTGAATAAAATAAATAACAGAATGGGCAAAACAGGAGCAAATGCAACCAAACCATTATTGTTCCTGCAGCTGAAGCAGCTCTTGCAGTAGCATATTCTCCTGCACCATATGAAAACCCAGTTTTTGTTAAATAAGATAAACTAGTTTGTGAGAAAAATGAAAAGAAATACAGGAAAAAAGGTGTAATTTTCTATAGCCATTTCCTTTTTACCTTCAGGATGAGCCATTTTTTGCATAGCAGTGGGAGCAACCATGATGGGCATAGAAATCTTGAATCCCAATACAGTTGCGATGGTATCAATTTTACTCACATCTACAAGAATCCGTGGTCGGAATCTACATATCAATTATTAAGTCTATTTTTCAGAGTCCAAACAGATGATATTAAAGAAACATAGGCATATAATCATAACTGTTCTTATAATAATAATAATAATAATAATAATAATAATAATAATAATAATAATAATAATATTAATAATAATAATAATAATAGTAGTAGTAGTAATAAAAAACTACAGAATCCTAGAAAAAGCAGTTTGGTTCTCTTTGAGAGTCCATTGGTCTTCTGCCCCAGAGGCATAATAATCATAAACCATTTTTGGCAATTTCTCCTTCGCAATGACTTCATATTCATTAACATTCGTTATAGTCTCCATGTTCTTGAATTGATATCACCTGAGCACATAAACATCCCTTGTTACTCACAGAATTGAGGAGTCAAGAATAGTGTCATCCAAATAAAATGGAATCGATAGAAGCACACAAATCCCTTGTCATGTTCTTGAATTATTATTATTATTTGCCCCTAACCCCCCCCCCCCCCTAGTAACTCCTGATCGTTCCAATAGATACAGTTTTCCTGACTATTTGCATCATCCAGTTAGTTTACTCAATTAAATTTCAATTCATATAAGGAGTAATAAAATCAGTTTGCCCAGTTCGGCAAGTCGGCAGTTGTGATGAGCTGAACCAGAAACAACAGATTAAAGAAACATATCAAAATAATTAAGCATAAATGGTCAAGAACACATGGAAGCTAGTAACCTGAGAAGATAAAAGAGGAAGGGGGAGCGGATAAAACCTTTGTGGGTGGTCAGCAAGAAACAAATGGGTGCATGGAATGAAATTCTCCTCTTAAATCCAAGAGAATGATTGATGGCCCGTGGAGGGTCAGTTTCACGGATTGAGAAATACTCGTAATTCATAAACTTGGAGGTTTTTGCCAAAAGAAATGAAAGAAAAAATAAATAATTTAGAATTGACACCATGTTTACAACCCCCGTCTAATAATTTAGCTCTATTTGCAAAAGCTTCAAAAAAAAGCTCTCCACTTTTTGTTTAAAAAATTAAAATTAATGTTTTAGAAATTACTCCAAATAGGATTAAAACTATGGCAAAAATTCAAAATAGGACTTCCTATGTTTTTCTTTTCAAAATAGAACCAAATTAGTCCTATTGGAAACATACCTATTTTTTCCTTCCATTCTTACCCTTCCTTTAAATATGTGTTAATTAAATGTTTAATTCATAATAAATTCAAAAAAAATCAAAAATTCGTAGAAAAATAAATAAAAAATTTATAAAATATTTATAAAATAAAAAATTTATAAAAAAAAAAATTTTGATTTTTTTTTATTTTTTTAAAAAATTAATAAAAAATAGTAAAATCCATTAAAAAAATTAAAAAAAAATATGGATGTCTTTCTCACCGCCTGTACTACCTCCCTGCACCACCATCTCTGGACGGTGAAAAATGCCATTTTTTCTAAAAACTGCCATTTTTTCCTGAAAATGCCAAAAACATGGCATATTTCTCTTTGAGAATGCCAACATTTTCATTATTTTCTGCCATAAATATAGCATTCGTAATGAACTTGGCATTTTTTTCCCGGTGACTGGAGGTGGTGGTGCAGAGGCGGCAGAGGCGGCGGTGAATTTTATTTTATTTTTTTGAGTTTTTTTATTTTTTTTAATTTTTTTTTAATTTTTTAATTTTTTGAAAACAAATAAATTAAATAATTATTATTATCGAAATATTTTTATTAGTTTTTTAGTATTTTTTACGAATTTTTTATTATTTTTTATTATTTTATTATGAATTAAAACATTTCAATAGCTAGAAGGGTATATTTGTCCAAGACACACATAATTAGTCCTATGAAAACATAGTTTAGTTTTTGGTCCTATTTATGTAAAGTGAGTGACTTTTAGTCCTATTTTGATAATTAACCCTTAATGTTTTCGAGTTATAATTTCTACTTAAAAAAATGTTTTTCGACTTTTGATTGAAAATTGCTTTTTACTTTTTCTATTACACAAAAAACACATATATTACCATACACTACCAACTTTTACTTTTCAAAATCATTTTTTTCTCAAACATTATCAACTTTTACTATTAATCACTTTTTCCAAAATCACTTGAAAAAGTGCTTTTTTTAAAGAAAAAGCATTTGCAAACACTCTCTTAGAATTAAAAGTTTGTAAACTACAAATAGATTTCAGTTTTGGTCCTAATAAAAAATAAATCAATTATATTTGAGACCATGCCTTATAATCACTAAGAGTAGCTAAACTACGAATAAATTGTAGTTTTGATCCTTGGATATCACAATAATTTCCACAATTAGTCAACGTCTTTAACGTTGACCATTTTTTGTACATGACTATTATTTTTTGCTCATATATGGTCTTTGCGTTGATAGTTTTGATAGTAAAAATTGCTGGAGAAACTTAGTTTTAAAAGGCGCGAGGCGGCATGAGGGGATTTCATGGATTTACCCGAGGCGTGAGGAAGCTACTCACGGATCTTAACCACATTTCTCTGGTGAAATATATTTTTACTACTTGAACATGAAGCACTCTTCTAAAAAATATTTCAAACTATTAAACAATCTTAATAAACATCATAAGGGAAACAAAATATTTATGAAGACAATAAGACAGCAGCAAGAAATATATGTTTAAGGGCATAATTGTCAAAAGTCAAGTCACAATATTCAATCTTAAAACTGCAGTCTTATTAAGACAATAAGACAGTAGCAATATATAAAACAAATAATAGTCAGTTTTGATAAATTCTTATATCTGTTAATAGTAATCGTTACATAAATTGTTAATGATAATTTTTTATAATGTGGTAATAGTAATTTAAATAATTAATGTAATAAACTGTTATATAAAATTTTTTAATAAAAAATGTTAATAATAAAAAATGTCTTAATACATAATTAGTGAATTAGTGTTATAACACTAATATTATCAGTGTTAAAAACAATTAATAGTCAGTTTATATTATCATTATGCAATAAACTACGTAGTGTAAAATAATACATAATTAATTAATAAACTATCACACGAATATTTTCCGTATTTTCTGTAGCAGACTGGTTTGGCTAATCGGCTATGTATTTTTATTATTATTAATCAGTGGTATTTAAATAATTTAAATAATTTTATAAATTTAGAAATTTAAAATAAGAGAATAAATAGCAGAAGAAGAAAAAAAGTAAATACCTACCTGCGACGCGAGATAGCAGAGAAAGAAACAGGATCGGAAGACTCGGAACTACTATGCAAGATGCAGCGGAAGAAAGCCCAAACGCAGAAGGAAGGAAGAAGAAAGAAGACTGGAGGGACTTGGAGCTAGAATCGCCAAAAAATATGAAATTGAAATCGCCAAAGGAGTGAAGTAACTCCATCGGACACTCCCACCCATGAGGCGTGAGAAGCGCACGCCTCTCAGACGTGCATAAGGCGTCAAAAAGCACGGATTAAAGCGCGCCTCCTGGAACCTACGCCGCCTAGGGGTGTAAGATGCGTTAAATACATCGCCTAAGTGCGCCTTGCGCCTTTCCGCGCCTCAGGCACGCTTTTTTAAACCAAGCGGAGAAGCGTCAAAGTATTGAGCGAAAAGACACAAATGGTCAAAAAACATTAATCAAGTACTACTTCCATCCCAAATTATTTTGCAGAGTCAACATTGTTAGTCCCTGTTTTCTATAACAGCAATATAATATGGCATACAGATGAAAGATTAACAACAAAGATGAACACAGAAAGATCAAGTGTAAACCTTCTCTGATATACCGTGAACCTTTCGTACAAGAATGATAAGCGCTAAGGCTATTTTGAGCAGATACGAAAGTTAACCGCAAACCTGAGTGCTCCGCCCTCTTTTATAGGCGAGGCTCAGGTATGCGTAAAAAGGCTTCTCGCCTAAGTATGGGCCTAACACTTGGCCCATATTGAATACTATTCTAACAGATATATTTAATCAGTGCAGAACAGAAATAGTAAACATCTAAATTATTACAGACAAAACAGACAAACTTGATTCACAATAAAATAGTCTTCAACAATCTCCCCCTTTGTGATCAAGTGTCGTCTTGCATTTATTTTTGAGATCTGAAGTAATGCTTTCTGAAATTTAGCGCATGCTCATACTGTCTCAGCATTCTTCTCTTTTCAAGTTGCTCGTTGATGGGCTTTAGGATGGTCCACACCTTCTCGTATACTAGGAGCTCTTCCTCGCTGGCGTCCGCAAGTCTTGGATCTATATTCTCCTTGATCTCTTGCAGCTTAGTCTGGATGATCTTCAGAGTCCCATCACAATATTTGTGAATGTCTTCTACCCACATGAGTCTTTTCTGTTCCTCGTGATTGAGATATATGATAGAGACCGGGTCCTTGAAGATATGATATGGTCTGTACTTTTTGAGCTCTGGACCGTTCAGAGTTGGCTTTACCAGATTTGCTTTTCTGACATTGTTTTCCAGGGCCATCTGTAGATCATGGGCAGCATAGAATCTGATCTGTCTCAGCATAAATCGTTTGATCGCCTCATAACCTTCTTCGTGTGTCCTGTTTCGACTCAGTGAGAGATACCTACTTACCATGAACATTTGGTAGATATCCTCCATCTTCATCATTATAAAATCATTTTCCTGGCAGATGAATATGCTGGAGTCTGTTCGTCGAACTTTGAAGCTGTAGAACGGGATGGTGTGATTATCTTCTCTGTGTATATCAAGGATAGCGTCAATAGGGTGGATGCTGGACTTCATATCTCTTTCCAGTATTTGCCGTTGTTTTCCAGATGATCTGTGCATCAGCATGTGAAGATGTCCGCCAGCCAGTTTGCCCTTAAGGTGAGTCAGGCCACGGATCTTCAGTTCATCGAGCTGTTTGAGCTTGTCTGCGGTCCTCCAAATTCCCTTTCTGATTTCCTCTTGGAAGGGGGCATTTATTCTGATGTTTTCCCAGAGCTCTTCTTTTGGGGGCAATTTGCCTGCCGTTTGTCTGATGACGGATTCTAGCTCCCTGGGTATCTTTTTGTAGTCCTCCCCTTCTTTGAGTTCCTCTTCATCAAGGCGTATGATATCTTCTGCGCATTTGGCCAGCAACTCTCTCAGCCACCAATTTCGCTGCATATCCTCTGTTTCAGCTTCGCATCTAAGATCATCCCACTCTGTCCACTTTCTCGGCCAAACGTCGTGTACCACAGCATCCTCGAGTGCATCATGAATGTCTTTGCCTTGGGGAATGTATGAGACTCTCAGCTGCGGTGATCTTTCTCATGAAGCACAACCGGGTTCACTAGGATTGCCCGTTGTCATCAGGTTAGAACTGAGTTCTGGCTGATGGCCTGACTTGACAGATGAATCAGAGATAACATCGTCAGGACTTCCATCCCCTCCTCGGACGGTATCCTTTGGAGACACGCCTCGGGATGTTGTCATCGATTTCGAACTGTGTTCTGATCGATGGCCTGAGCTTTGTGATGTACCAGAGGTAACCACTACAGGACTTCCATCCCCTCCTCGGACAGTATCTCTAGGAGATAAGCCTCGGGATGTTTCATCTAGCTCGACCAGGCTAGAGAGTTGGGCTTGGTTGTGGCTCGAGGAAGGTGGTGGTTGGTTTGATGAGGTGTTTGGCTGGGGTTCATGGCTGATAGAGGCTGCTTGCTCAAGTGTCCGAGGTCTCTTGTTCTCCCCCTCATGAGGTTCCGAATCATCGGGATCCTCATGGGAAAGTTTGAGGCCTCGGGGACTGTCACGGCAAGTGCCGTATTGAGGGCGGTCGTGGTTGAGGAAAACTTGGAGAAGGTCACGCTCGAAGGGTGTAAGGTTGCAAGTGTCGACCTCCAGCAACCGAAGAAACAGGAGATCGGCAAGCTCAAGACGGGATAGGTGGAAGGGATTGGTCGAGGCAGAGGGCGATACTAGTTCTGTATCGTGGGTTCCC